GAAGAGGACTGGGACACCAAAAATTGAATATCAGAAATAAGTTTTAAGGAGGGGTTGGTATCTTAGGGCTGGAGAAGAACAGTAAGAAAAGAGAAGTGAAAGAACAGATACATTTTCTTCCATTCCCATCATACTCCCATCCCCCATTTCTTTTGCCCCTTCCTCTCCAGGTAGTCCTCTACCTTTTCTCTCACCTCCAGTAAGCAGCCCTGGTGGTGCAACAGTTAAGTACTCAGCTCAGACCCACTCAGTGGCTCCACGGGAGAAAGACCTGGTGATCTGCTCCTGTAAAGACTACAACCTAGAAAACCCTATGGTGCAGTTCTACTCTGTCACGTAGGGTCACTGTAAGTCGAAATCGAGTTAATGGCACCTAACAACAACCACCACCACCAATAAGGTATCTAACCTTGCTATTTATGTTTTTTAGGGATTTTTAGCACCTTGCTTTCCATACTCCCCCCTTGAATATCTAGTAAAACATCTAGTGAGCTGGTTTGAGATGGTACTAAAGTAAAAACAAAATACTCCCTTCCTCCCATCCCCACCCTCTGAGCCTCATAAATGTTATAAACCTACTGGACCAAAACATAAAATACTTCTAGGCTGAACCAATCTCATATTTCATTTGGTTTAATCCCCCACTCCACCACGGGAAATCCACAAATATTCATTTTCACAGCCAGCATCAGGTTTAGGTGAGAATAATACTATTGTATCATTATAGGTAATATTCTCATCCACTGACAGCACTCTCAATTTAAAAAGCCGACTTTTTACTTTAAAGACTGCGCTTGATAAGAAATAAACGCATACCAGATATGTGTATGATTACATAACCTAGATTTAATGTTCAAAGAAAAATTCGTAAGGTTATATACATCCTTGGGGTAAAAAAACAAAACCAAAAAACCAGGAGATAAGATCGAATCATTTTCATTGTTTTGCAACCTACTGCAATATATTTCTAAGTGTTATACCTTCTCATATCATCTTCCCTTTAAAAAGCTTTTCAGAATGCTTACATGGAAACAAAAGAGATGTTATATAAAAGCTGGAAATTTTGGAGAAAATGCAACAGAAACGTGAGGCAGTTTTTCAGGTCTTTTTGAGCTAAAGAAAAGCTGATGTTAGTTTTAATATTAGCTGGAGGAGATCTTTTAGCTGAAAGCAAAATAGGAAATAGGAAATCACACAAATAGGGAAAAAATGCAAAAGGGGTCTGCCAGGATTGAAGCCTAGCCTTTAGCAAACAGAGTAAGAAATGATTTTGCTGCACAAGGAAAAAAAGTCTGTTTAAACATGTGAAGGTATTTCGTACATGTTTTTCCAGAGCAGATACTAAAATAAAACTCCACAAGTAAGCTCAAAGGAATTAAAATAAAAGTTAAAGGAAAAAATACAAGACATTTGACTATTTTCATAAATATGATGAGGAGAAATCACTTAGGTTGACAGTATTTGGTTTTGTTCTTATCCTAACTGCACTGTCCTAGCTGCCTTAAATGCCTTCCAGAACAATCAAGGGCATAAATAAATAAATTCATAAATAAATAAATACAAAGACAGCGTCTTCCTGTTAAATGCCGTCATTGAAGACAAAAGAAACATCACATTTTAAATTTTGAATAAGGAGACTGTGCCAGATAGGTTTTGGATAATTTGATTTTACTTACGGTGGTTTGGAGTTTCTCTACATAGACTGCAAAGTTGCAGAAAAATTACTTGGGGTGTTTGTTAAAATGTAGATTTCTAGACTCCACAGCCAAAGATTCTTATTTAAAAGGTCTAGGATCCCAAGAATCTGCATTTATAAAGAAGTCAACAGGAAATCATAAATGCATCTGGAGATCATGCTTTGAGGAAACTACTCCCTAAAATAAACTGTCTCCCTATTACGGAGTTTAAAGTTTTTATTTTTTATTTTTAGCAAAACGTGTGGATTTCAGAGCACAAAGGAACCTCTAAATCCACTTTATACTTCTGATCTGCAACCTTGTAACCTTAGGTACCAAATGAATTATCCTAATGGAAATTATCTGTTCAGTAGTGATCAAAACTGTTTCTACAGGTTTTCAACACGCCACGCCTGATAATGCTGTAGCTACAAATGGTTGTAAAACGTACACAAAATGTTTTCTTTAATATAACCGTACAAAAGAGATGCTACAAGAATCCTTCACAAATGCTGTTTCAAATTCTGTTGAACTTGCTTTAAAGGCTTATGAGACAGTTTAAAAGATCGGCAAAGAAATAATGTATATTACTTATAAACATTTACTACTGTATTTAAAAAATATATTCTAATTTGCTCTCATCACATTTGCTATCAGCAGCTCTCCAAGCTGTTTGCATAGGAAGCTCCTCATGGGCTCCTTTAACATTTAAGACCCATGACTGGGAATTTCCTCTACAACCTCTTTTCCTTATCTCTTTCATTCCTCTCTTTCCCTTGAGAACTAACCCCATTCCCCCTATCCATATGTACATACACCTCTGTGGGTGAGACATAAACTTTTGTTTTTGCCTCCTAGCAACTGCAAATTGATTTTCATTCATCCCCAAGATGAGCATTTCTGAGGGAACAGTTTGTGTCAGGCACTGTGCTAGGCACTAGAACCCAAAGATGAAAAAACATAATTCCTATTCTAACATGGCCCACAGTTATGTGGAAAGAGTCAGATGAACAAACAGTTACAATACAAAGTGTTATGTGCCATTATTAACAGGGAGACTGCTAATAACAGAGAAACTCTGGTTTTTTCCTCAGCAAATTAAAAACAAGATATTGGAGAGCTCCAGTAATGCACAGCAAGAATATCAACGGCAAAATAAAATCCGAATGATGGAAATCCGGAGTAAGATGCAATAGGGATTGTTTCTGAAAGTAACATTTAGAGCCATTTCAGTAGGCCAACAACCTGATACATTGTTGAAGTCTAAGTGAGCTTGTACTGAAGGGCAAAGAACTGGTTAGTTAGCACCCACCACTGGTGACCTCATAAATCACAGGACTTCATGTTTGAGGTCTGGGCAAAGAGAGGGTGAGTGAGGCAATACCCAGATTCTGGCTAACATCTCTGTCCTCCTTGTAGGCAGAATGATCCAGGGAGGAAAGATGTCATTAGTTAGTACTGAAAGTCAATCTTCTCTAATCAATCTAGACCCAGCAAAGGGAGAGTATATAAACCGGTGGGTGTCACACACAGAATGATCTCAAAGTGACTACTGCATTTATTCAGACACTGGAGGCTTTCCAAACCTTGACTGCGTTACAGGAAATCTTTTTATACATAACCATCTGGGAAAGTCTGTAGAACATCCAATACATTGCATTAGCTAAAACCAATGACTCCTTCATATCTATTATGTCTCATGGATTTTCACGTGACTACATTTAAGTAATATTTTCCATTTTCTAAAACTATTCTCATGTTAGAGTCAGAGGCAGAAAGGAAATCTCTTACCTACTAGTTCACAAGAAGAAAATACTTCATGTTTACAAAGGAAGACTATTTCTTTGATAAATAACTTTTATAATATTTAGTATTTATTAGAATGAAGCACTTTAAGATGCTACTGGCATGTTTTTATAACATGCCTATACTTTATCACTGAAGTAGAATCTTTTTACTTTTTAAACAAATTTAACTCAATATACATTTCTTGCAAACCTACTCTGCATCAGGTATGGTACCACCACAGGCATACAACAATGAATAAAATACATATCTGTCTTCAAGGACTTGCAGTATCTTCAGGGAGAGCAGGGCCAGATTGAGGCACGTGACGGCCCTAAACACTGATAACCTGTGGTGCCCCCTATTGGGTGAATGTAGCAAGAGTTAGACTCGACAGCCCATCCCCACCTCTTGCTTATTAGAAAGAAATAGTATACTCCCAAGAGACCTGCTGAGATAAGGAGTTTCAATTACGTGGGAGGGGACTGTAGGAGACAGATGTCAACAAAGGTGCTGAAGTGGTAGGGGGCTCATGGCTTAAACAGCCTCGCCCATGAGCACCTCTGTGACCCTGTGTGAACTTTATTTCAGGCGGGCACATTCCGGCACCAGAGCTGGTATCAATTCATTTAGTGCCCTGCCAGTTCCCTTCCACTGCATTTTTCACTTCTCCTTGTGTCCTGTCTGCTTGACATCTATGAGTCTTTGTTTTGGGCAACTGGTGCCTCCGTTCTGTTGATGCCCTAAGCACGTGCTTACCTTGCTCATTGGGTAATCTGTTCCTAAGGAGGAGTAAGAGTTAGACATCGCAACACAGTGGCAAGTGTTATTCCGGAGAGGTGGGCACAGTGGTGGGTGGCCCAGTGTTAGGGGAACACCATGGAGCCTAGGGGGCTGAAGGATGCTTCACACAGATGGTGGCAACTGAGCTGGATTTTAAACTGTGAATGGGATTTCACCACATATGAAAAGGAAAGACCTCCCCAACAAAGGGAGCATGAGAAAAAATATGGGATTCAAAAGGGAAGGAGTCTTTAGGGAACAAGTGGTATTTTGTGGGGCTGAGACACAGGGGAGTGAGACATAAAAGAGAACATTGAGACAAAGGGTTGAAGCCAGAACAAAAAGGACTTTATCAGCCACAGTAAAGGAGTTTGACCTGTATCCCATAGGAAGGACAATATTGAGTCCTGAAGGTTTCTAGGGAAGAGTGTTACAGGACCCAATCTGTGTTTTAGGAAGACAAGTGTGGTGGCTGACAAGGGATAATAGAGAGCAGGCAAGGAGAGCAGCTAGAAGGCATTACAACAGCTCAAGCCAAGAGACTGTTCATGACACCTGACAGGGTGGCTCTGTGCTCTTAAGTTACCATAAACATTTTTTTCACATGTTCTCTAGTTATACATGAGTTTTACCCCTTCAATTATAAATCAGTGCCGATACTTACTTTTTCCTACCCAAAATATATCTGTGGCTTATAAAATCACATTGCACATGACAGCAAACATTTAGGTAAATACTTAGAAGATAATCTCTTACCTGAACAAAGCTGTTCCACTTTTGTGTAGTTTAAAGATACTATGTCGTTAACCCATGCAATGATGTCATGTCTGCTCATAGTCTCTTGGGTTATCGAGGTAGAATACACATTGACTGCCATTCCCCAGCTAGGAGAAAAAAAAACAAAAAACAGATGTTTATTTACCTATAAGGAAAAAATTAATTCAGAAACATAAAAGACACCTACTGAAGGTCAGGATCCCTGGCAGAGCTCTAAGGGAGGTAAAAGTTTTGCTTTGGTTAAGTGCTTTACCTTCGCTTTCTCTATATATATTCTACGTATTTGTCATAATATGACTAAATTTCACGTACTTTTCACGTAGGACCATTTGACATCTCCCTCAACTAAACCCAAAAGTTCTTCTGGTTCTAGGATTTCCAACTTACAATGCAATTTAGAGTCTCACTTTTGTCCTTAATTCCATGTAGGATATTAAAAAGTTATCGGGTTTACAGCAGTGTACACCAGAATAAGTTTTTAGTTTTATAAATTTCATAGCTTACAAGTACTTGCAAACCAGCACCTCCTCCAGTCTGCTCATCTTTGAAAATATAAATGGCAGCTCCATTGTAACTAGCTGCTCAGGTTATAAACACTGACAGCATCCTTGACTCCTCTCTTTCCCTCATACCTATATCAGTCCATAAGCAAGTCTTCCTGGCTCTACCTTTATTTTCAGAAGCTGCCACCTTGACCCAAACTTCCGTCACTCTCGTCTGGAGTTTTGCAATTATCTCCTAACTGGTCTCCCAGCTTGCACTCTTGCCCCTACAGCCTATTCTCAACACAGCAGCCAGAATGATCCTACTGACATGAATCAGATCCCTTCCTTAGTTCAAAGCTGCCCATCTCACTCAGAGTAAAATCCAAAGTCTCATCAGCCTTATAAGGCCTTATATACTTTATTCCTAGACATCTTCTCCTACTACCCTTCTCCGATCCTCCACTCCATCATCACTGGCCTCTCCTGGCTATTTACTGAACACTTTAAGCTCACATCTGCTTCAAGGCCTTAGCACTGCTGTTGCTTTAGCCAAGGACATTTCCCCCTGTAGAAGTTCTTTAAACATTCTGCATATTAAACCCTTCTCCAATACATGGTTCCCAAAAATTCTATCCCATTCTGTGGATGACTTTTCACTTTGTTAATAAAATCCTTTGATGCATAAGAGTTTTTAATTTTGATTACAGCTCCCTCACTCCCTCGTTTCCTTGAGGTTCCATTTAACATGACCTCATTAGCAAGGCCTCTTCATCATTCTCTATTCCCTTACCCTTTTTCTTTCCAAAGACGTACATGTAAACTCCCTGAGAGCAGGGGTTATGTCCATTTTAGTCTCTGTTATATCCCTAGTGGCCAGCACAGTGCCAGACACAGAATAAGTTTTTAATAAAAATGATGCTATTCAATATTGTACTGGAAGTCCTACCTAGAACAATCAGGCAAGAAAAAAAGATATAAAAGCTATCCACATTGGGAAGGAAGAAGTAAATCTATGAATATTCTCAGATGACATGATCCTATATACAGAAAATCCCAAAGAATCCACAAGAAAGCCACTAGAGCAAATAAGTGAATTCAGCAAAGTGGCAGGGTACAAGGTCAACACACACAAAAAAATCATTTGGGTTTCTATATATCAGCAAGGAGCATTCTGAAAGTGAAATTAAGGAAACAATTCCATTTACAATAGCATCTAAAAGAATAAAATACCTATGAATAAATTTAACTAGGGAGATGAAAGACTTGTACCCTGAAAACTATAAAACATTGCTGAAAGAAATTAAAGAAGACCTAAACGAGTGGAAGGACACTCCACGTTCGTGGATTGGAAGACTTAACGTT